GGGTGGGGGAGCGCCGGCGGATGGGGAACGAGCGACACCAGCGGCTGGGGCGTCGCAACCGGCGGATGGGGCGCAGCAACAGGCGCATACATCGGCGGATGGGGCGCCGCACAAGGCGGCGAGACGAGCGGCTGGGGAGCTTTCCGCGAGGATCAAAGGGGGGAAGAGGAAGAAGAACCTGCGTATGCCGACGTCGAACCTCCCGTTGTTCCTCTCGGACGACCTCCGCGCCGCCCTGCGTTAGGACCACCGCCGCCTGACATCCCTTCAGGTAGTGACCCCTGGGACACCATTGACTGGGGAAGTGAACCACTCACCCCGCGACGCACTGTCTACGGACCTGCCCCTGAACCACGCGAACCGGCGTTCGTACTTGGCACGATCCCCGGAACCAACATCCCCTACTCCATCATCCGCGACACAGAATTTCTCGCCCTCATGCTAACAACGGCGAACGAGGAAGAAGAAGAGAACGGGGGAACAGCGCCTACACCTGCACCGGCACCTGACGAAGACCCCGCAGCCGCACTGGAGCGCTACATGCGCACATCTGGATTCCGCGCCGACGACGCCATCTGGCATCAGCGCCTATGTCACCCTTCGCGCGTGACCCTGAAGAAATGCATCGAAGCCGGCGTCTTTGCACCTGGCGCGCTGTTGCGCCCTGACGACTCCGAAGTGAGAGGAGGGACTCACCCGCGCAGCTGCACTGTCTGCCCCGAAGCTGCGCTGAGTCACCAGCCCTTCCCCCTACTCGAGCCAGGAACCAATCGCTACGCCAAGCTTGAGAAGGTTTAGAGTGACTTTCTCAACGTAGGACACTGCGGCATCAACGACGAACTCTACACACTCACCTTCGTCGACGCCGGAACGCGCCACGTGTGGGTCGTAAACGTGGAAGCGCGTAGCAGAGCCTACGAAGCATTCCGTCTGTGGCTGGCGCACGCGCAGCGGCAATCTGGGGAGAAATTGAAGATTTGGCAGTCCGATGGTGCGGCGGAGTTCAGGAGCAAGGAACTGCAGGATTACCTCGCGCAAAAATGGATCGACCATCACATCTCCCTCCCCTACGCGCACCAGCAGCAGGGCGTAGCGGAGCGCACGAATCGCACCCTCATGACGAAGGTACGGGCGCTAATGCGGCAGGCAAAGCTCCCGCCGATCTACTGGACCTACGCGATGCACCACGCCGTGCGGGTGCACAACCTGCTGTCAACCACCGCAATCACTGGCAATTAATCGCCGCACGTGAAATGGACGGGAAGAAAGGGGGACACCTCCATGCTCCGCGTCTGGGGCTGCATGGTTCAATACCGACCGCCAACATCAACCATCGGGAAGTTCAAAAGCCGCGCGCGCTGGGGAATCCATCTCGGTATCAGCCACGAACACAAGGCGTGGATCATCCTGGATCTCCTAAGCCAGAAAATCAAGAATGCGCGCGATGTCATCTTCTACGAGCGACTGTTTCTGCAACAATTTCGTGACGACGAGCAGACGAATGCAAACCGCGTCTACGCCAACGAGGGCCACAGCTACGCCTCACCTGAGGACGAAGCAGCAGCAGCAGCAATTCTGGAGCAGGATCCCAGAGGCGAGTTCACAAGGGGCGATCGCCGCGACGACGACGACGACGATGACGATGATTCAGGTGAAGGAGGAACAGGCGCAACAGGAGGAGGCGCAGCAGGAGGAAGCAGAAGCGGCGGAGACACAGCACCGCCTGAACCAGAAAGCGATGATGACGACGTGCAGGAAGTCGTCACTCAACATCGCCACGACAGCACTGTCGCCGGTCTCCAGCTACTCGGACTACACGCTGCCATCTCCACTGCTCCGCGCATCATCGAACCTAAGAACCCACGGCAAGCTCTCACAGGCACACACAGCAAGGAGTGGCGCGAAGCAATGGATGCGGAAATCCGGGCACTCGAGTCGCGCGACACCTGGGTGCTCGTCGACCGTGCAGCAATAAAGGGGAGAAGGATTCTCTCCGGCAAATGGGTCTTCCGAGTGAAGACAGGAGCCGACGGAAGGATTGAGCGATTCAAGGCACGCTGGGTGGTGCGCGGCTACGATCAAAGGCACGGGATTGATTTTGACCAGACATTCGCACCGGTCAGCCGTCACACGTCCGTCAGAATTCTCCTCGCCATCGCAGCCGCACGACACCTACCACTCCGGCAGATCGATGTGAAGAATGCGTTCCTGTACGCATTAGTGGACGCCGTGATCTACGTGGAACAGCCACACACTTACGGCGACGGAGACCCACGCGTCTGTCAGCTACGCAAGTCCCTCTATGGGATCAAACAGGCACCGAGACTCTGGCAGCAGTACCTGCACAACATACTGCTTGAAATCGGGTTCAAGCAGCTGCCTCACGATCCTGGAATGTATCGCCGCAATTTCCGCGGCGAATACATCCTCCTCACGGTCTACGTCGACGACCTTCTCTACACAGGCTCAAGCAACGAACTGCTCGAGCAATTTGAGAGAAGCCTCGCAGGGCGCGTCGACATCACCTGCAATCATGACGTGAAGCAGTTTCTCGGACTCAACATCACCTACTCGCCGGAAGCCATTCATCTCTCAGCAGCGAAGTATGCGGAGGAGCTTAGCAAGCGCTTCAACATTGCGCCTGCACCACTCTCCACCCCTTACCGCACTCCAGGACCCAACCACAAGCCTGACAACAAAGCCCTGTCCCCTGCTGGGCTTCACACTTACCAGCAGCAGTTGGGATGCCTGCTTTTCGCATCTGTTACCTGCAGGCCCGACCTCTCCTACATTGCGAGCCAGTTGGCTGAGTACTCACGCAAACCAACGGCTGAGAATCTCTCAGATCTTCAGCGAGCCCTTCAATTCTTCATCTCCACGCCCAATGTCGGGCTCAGTTATTCCACCATCCCAACCACATCCTTCAGCCTCGTCGGCTACGTGGATGCCGATCACGCCGCTGACCCTGACAATCGACGGTCCAGGACAGGGTTCCTCTTCCGCCTCGAGCCCAGCGGCCCCATCTCCTGGAACTCTCAGAAGCAGGAGTTGGTTGCCCTGTCATCGGCGGAAGCTGAATTTATCGCAGCAACAGCAGCTGTTCGCGAAGGTCTCTACCTTCAGGAACTGCTGCAGGAAGCAAAAATTCCGGCCTCAACGAACTTTCGCCTGCACTGCGACAATCAGAGCGCGATCAGGATCGCGAACAAACCTGGTTTCGTCAACCGTACCAAGCACATCGCACTGCGGTACTTCTTCGTCAAGGACGAAGTTGACAAAGGCAAAGTTGACCTGACATACTGCCCAACGGGTGACATGGCAGCAGACTTCCTCACGAAGAGACTGCCGCGTCAGCAGTACCAGCACTGCTCCGAACTCAGCGGGGTAGTCAAGCGGGTCAATGCTCGCTACGGCCAGGAGTGAAGGGGGGTGTTACGAATAGTAGTTAATGAAAAACAATGTTGCGCACTCCTCACCGTAGTAAAGCCGAAGCACGCACTATCGAGAGTGAAGACGAAAAGCCAGAAGAAAGTCGAAGGGACAGACGGTTACGAGGAGCATCTGGACCGTCGGGCAGACAGCATCAGGCAGCAGCAGGCCCTCAGATTCACTTTTAGGGACGTTGATGCATCAGGGTCCCTGTGAAAAAAAGCCTGAATTTTCAGGGTTCCTAAAAAAAAAAGCCTGAATTTTCAGGGTTCCGGAAAACAAGAGCCTGAATTTTCAATTACATCATGCAATTGTGCAAGAGAGTAGCCTTTAAAGCGACGGTGCACATTTGCCACCCAAAACCCAGAACCCTGGCGAACTGTTACTGCGGATGGAAAGTGTCCGCACGAAATCCTGGTTTTCGCCAGCCAGCACTTTCGCGCTGGCAAGCCTGGTTCAAAAAAAAAAACTTCTGAACCCAACACTGCCAAAAGTTGCCCGTCGCTTTAAGAACATGGTGGTAGAGGGATTCGAACCGGAAACCTTATCAATCGGTATCTACTTCGCTAACCACTAAGCCAGTTCATGGAGTCGACGATCGGTATTTTTTACATAAGATTTTATGATGCGGAAATGTTGGTTGACTTATTGTCTCGGGTGTTTTACGGGAAGGATTCGGAATGTGCATTCAGTGTACACTTCGATAAAAGTCTGAAACATCAGTGTTAGCTATGAAGTAAAGGCTGAAAAAATCAGTGTCACAAAAATCTCAACACTGAAAATTCAGTGTAGATACACAAAACTAGGCTGAAAATCAGGAATTTCAGGGAAAAATTCCTGATATCGTAGGGCCTGGGCAGCAGCAGTGGCGAGGATTCTGCCCGAACAGTTACGTAACCACTCGGAGTCGCACGGTTGGATTTCGATGCAATAAGGGAATGTACCCCTTAGAGTACATGGCTAGTTAGGTCGTTTCGAATTCCCCTGTACTCATATTTATATTCCTTGTACTGCACGTGTTTATTATCTCAAAGCATTTTACATTCACTCTGCTATTGAGTTCAAGGGCCCACCAACATCACTTCTCTGCGTGCGAACCTTCCTGAGGTGATCCTGGTTACAATCACTTTCTGATTTTAGCAAAATCAAACAGTCAGAAAATATGACCTTGGAGCGTGCCACCACCTACATCAAGAGAGGCAGATGAGCAACATCCACCATCCCCACACCTCCTGTTGCTGGCCTCTCTCACCTATACCATCAACCAATCGCACCTGTTTAAGTTTAACCCTTTCTGCAGCCCTTCCACCAGCAACATTACTTTCCCTTCGAGCAGCCAAGGACACTACCACCGCCTCCCTCTCCTCTGTTGCACATGCGTGGCTTGAAGCCTTCTTTCACTGCCTGCTCAGCCATCCTGTGCTTCCAGCCTCGCCGTAACAAGGTTAGTCAGTCTGCATGTGCACGGCCTGCAGTAGCCATACCATCAATCACACATCTGCTTGTGAATGCTACCCTGGCACCGCTGTGTGCACGCCACGCTGCGCCTCGCCACGCACTCCATGCCAAACATGCCGTCATCTTGGGATCATCGGATGCGGGGCAGCAGCAGGAAGCCATCGAAGCCAGGGTGCCGGCCTGCTGTGCTGCGCACCGACCGCCTTCCTCTACCCGCCCCTCCCTCCACCACCCCGCCTCCCCTGCTCCCACCTTCTGCACCACCTGCTGCACCCTCTCGCCCCAAACTCTCACTCTCACTCGCTCTGCCATGCTGCCACGCACTGCCAACTGTCACACCCTCTGCTGCCGCTGCTGTTGCGCTTTCATGTGGCCGAGGGCTCATCTTCCCCTCGCCTGCTCTTGCGCTTTCATGTGGCCGAGGGCTCATCTTCCCCTCGCCTGCTCTTGCGCTTTCATGTGGCCGAGGGCTCATCTTCCCCTCGCCTGCTCTTGCGCTTTCATGTGGCCGAGGGCTCATCTTCCCCTCGCCTGCTCTTGCGCTTTCATGTGGCCGAGGGCTCATCTTCCCCTCGCCTGCTCTTGCGCTTTCATGTGGCCGAGGGCTCATCTTCCCCTCGCCTGCTCTTGCGCTTTCATGTGGCCGAGGGCTCATCTTCCCCTCGCCTGCTCTTGCGCTTTCATGTGGCCGAGGGCTCATCTTCCCCTCGCCTGCTCTTGTGCTTTCATGTGGCCGAGGGCTCATCTTCCCCTCGCCTGCTCTTGCGCTTTCATGTGGCCGAGGGCTCATCTTCCCCTCGCCTGCTCTTGCGCTTTCATGTGGCCGAGGGCTCATCTTCCCCTCGCCTGCTCTTGCGCTTTCATGTGGCCGAGGGCTCATCTTCCCCTCGCCTGCTCTTGCGCTTTCATGTGGCCGAGGGCTCATCTTCCCCTGGCCTGCTGTGCGTGTGCCTGGCATGGCACTCTCAATCGCCCGCACCCTGTCTCCACTTCTCTTATCTTGGCTATCTCCCCTGCCTTTCCTCCTCTGACCCTCACCGCCCTTCCCTTCTAGGCAGCAAACCTTTTCTGCTGAGCTAGCAACCTTGGCTGCTGAGCTGGCAACCTTGGCGGTCGAGCTGGCAGTCATACCAGTAGAGGGGACAGTGGTACCAACAGAGCAGGCAGCAGTGCCAGCTGCAGTGCCAGCAGCAGCAGCTGCAGCAGTGGAGCCAACAGCGCAGTGAGCAGGTGCGTTGGGAGGAGCAGGAGGGTGTGTGGCAGCAAGAGCTCAAGGTGGCTCGGCCGTGCTGACAGCACCTGCCTTGGGTCGGTCGCTGCGCCGCTTCTTGAGGACCGGGAAGGAGAGAGCGGGCTGCTTGAGGGGCAATGTTGAGAGTTTGGAGATGCGGTCTGCAGTGGTACCGGCGGTGGCACTTGTGGTGGCACCTGTGGTGGCAGCTGCGGTGGTAGCTGTGGCGGCAGCTGTGGTGGCAGCAGTGGTGGCAGCTGTGGTGGCAGCTGTGGTGGCAGCTGTGGTGGCAGCTGTGGTGGCAGCTGTGGTGGCAGTTGTGGTGGCAGCTGTGGTGGCAGCTGTGGTGGTAGCTGTGGTGGCAGCTGTGGCGGCAGCTGTGGTGGCAGCTGTGGTAATAGCTGTGGTGGTAGCTTTGGTGGCAGGGCAGGATACCTGTGATGTGTCTCCACGGCTCGCGAGTGTATCATCTTGAGGCGCTCTTGCTGTTGCTCGTATGCTTGCTGTGGTTGTTCGTGTGGATCCTGTTGCGGTTACTCCATTGCTTCCTGCTGTGCTTGCTGCTGCTGCAGCGACGGCGGCTAACTCAGCTGATAGCAGCACAGCAGCTTGTTCTTCTGCTGCTGCCTTGCTGCGCTGCACCCCACCAGCACTTCCCGCACTGCCAGCACACCCATCCCCATCCCCATCCCCATCCCCATCGCCATCGCCATCGCTGCTGTCTCCCGCCCTCACCTCACCGCCTCCCCCACCACTCCCCTCCCCTCCCTCTCTCCTCCTCTTCCTCACGGACCTGCTCCTCTTCCCACTCACTCTCACGCCTGCCCCTGCCTCACCCCCTGGGGTAGGCGGGCAGGCAGCTGGCGATGCCAGCGGTGCAGGCAGAGGAGCAGCAGCAGGGGAGGTGGCCGGGGGGGCAGGGAGTGAAGGGGAGAGAGGGCGAGAGGCCATGTGGGATGGATCGGTGGGTTGAGGAAGGGAGGAGCAGGCAGGCAGAAGCGGTGAGGCGATGCAGGAGGCGGGGGCAGGCTCGTATGTTACAGTCGGGCCACGGGGGCAGGTTGTAGCACAAGCAGGCACGGCCATGCAGCTGCCTCCTTGCAGGGCCGCTGCGTGCAGGGCGCGAGGGCTCCTCTTGCCCTTGGTGGCTGCGGCCGTGGCACCAGCGCCAGCTGAGGCAACTGTGGCAGCGGTAGCAGCAGCGACAGCGGTGGCAACGGAGGCAGTACCACTGGTCGCCACACTGCATGCAGCCCTGGGAGCAACACTCACACTCGCTTCTGCTGCACCCCCAACAGCCACTGCTCCTGCTCTCCCCTTACCCACACGCACTGCCTTGCCTTCCCCGCCTGCTGCCAGCTTCCGCTTGGCACTGCGAGAGCCTTTCAGCCCGGACGCCTTCAGTTCCGAGGCAGCACCTGCGGTGCCGATTCCCCCACGTGCTGTCGCAGCTTCTTTGCCTGACGGCGCTACAGTTTTTGCTACAGCCAGAGGCGTCGCTGTGCGTGCGGGAGAGGGTGCGGTGAGCAGCGATGCAGTGGGTGGTGCGGTGGGAGGAGGCGATTGAGTGGCAGGAGGAGTAGTTGCAGCGGTATCAGCCTTGGGGCGCGATGCCAGGCGGGCCACAGCGCGGCGCAGGGTCTGATAGTGGCGCGGGGTGGCAGGGAGAGGAGGGACAGGGAAGGGAGATAAGGTGAATGCAGCAAGAGGTGAATAGTCAGCAGCACTTGATCAGCATTCTCCATGACGACAGCAGCAGGTTCGCTGCTCACCTTGATCTCTGGGCGCAGGTCCACAGGCAGGGCAGAGGCGTGGCTGATGAGCGCGCGCAGATGTGACAGACGCTGGGCGGCCTGGCGCTCTGACAGCTGTGACTGAGATGAGAGTGCCTTGCTGAAGCAAGACAGCCACTCAGAACGGCATCAGTTGTGCCTACTGTGTGCGAGCCCTGGAGGACAGACAAGGGAGGGGAGGGGTGAAGGAGGAGGATTGAGAGATGGAAGAAGGTGGGACAGAAAAAGACTCTTGGCATGCACACAGAGAGTATAATGGAGCGAAGAGAGCAACGGAAAGACAAGAGAAGTGGGGTTGGAGACACTAAGATCTGCTCGTTACACAGTATCGCCGTAAGTGCAATTCTGTTTGTATAAGCCACTATCTCACCGTCTGCACCAGCTGTGCCAGGGTGGAAGGTCGGGTCCGTGGACGGCCAATGAGAGCGCTACACGTGGCAGCCCTCCAGCAGTGGGCGGCCACTGCCCTCTGCATCACCGCCAGCGTGCCGACCGCCCGACTTCCTCAGCACCAAGGTAGTCGACAGCGGCAGCAGAGGCGACCGAGGGGAGAAGGGGGGGAGGGGAACACCCGTCAAAGAAGGGCGTGCGGGGGTCGCCACAAGAGGCACCTACAGCAACTATGCTAGCCTCAGCTGCAAGCAGATGCTTCTCGAGCAGGTCAACGGTGAGCTCGGTGGGGCAGAGGGCGAGAAAGTGGTCCCTGACTGCGCGAAGAGAGTCAGGGAGACGGGTGACTAGGTGGTAGAGAACGAGGTACATCGGGGGCGGATTCTTGGCGAGGAACTCAACAGGAAGGGCGGCTCGGTAGCGAGTGTCACTAGTGCGGAGGTGTGTAATGAGGTCAGCAACTGTGGGAAAGGCGGCCAAATCGGGGAAGAGATAGGGCAGCGAGAGACGGCCGATCGTAGCAGAGGCAGGCGAGGAGTAGCGCGCGACTACTGCATCGTACAGTGCCTTAGCAGTCTTGTGCTGGCCAAAATGCGCGCGCTAATCTAACGGCCGGTGACTGCAAATGGCTAGGCGAGCGTGAGCGTCACGAGTCTGCCACTGGGAGCGAGCTGTACTGTCAGCAGTCTCTACAAGTGCTAGAGCGGTTCCGGACGCGTGATCATACAGTGAGACATCGTCCTTGGCAGTGATCTGTAGGAACAGGTGGAGGTCGTCGAGCCAAGCATCAATCTGAATCGGACGGCCCTCAGCATCGAAAGAGAGGACGGTGGGACTAGCCATAGTGGCAGCAGTAGCAGTAGCAGCAGTAGCAGTAGCAGCAGTAGCAGTAGGAACAGAAGCAGTAGGAGCGGGCGGAACAGCAGTAGCAGTAGGGCAGCGCGGCACGGTTCGGGCAGGGCGGCTCGGCGCGGCTCGGGCAGGGCGGCGCGGCGCGGCTCGGACAGGGCTATGCGGCGCGGCTCGGACGGGCAGGGCGGCGCTACGGTGGGCCTGCGCGTGGGCTGCTGTTGCGTACGGGCCGCGGCTGCGCGTGGGCTGCAGTCGCACGCGGGCAGCGAGCTACGCGCTGGCTGCAGCGGCTGGTGCGCAAGCAGCTGCGACGCGCGGGCTGCGCGCGGGGCCGCACGAGGACGGCGCAGGCTGCGCGCGGGCGGTGCTGGTCGTGCGTGGGCGGTTAACGGCCTACGCGCGCTAGAAACGGGCCGCGCGCGGGCGGCTAGCGGGCTGCACGCGCTAAAAACGGGCCGCGCGCGGGCGGCTAGCGAGCTGCGCACGGGCAGCGTGAGAGAGAGAGGCGCGCGAGGGCGCACTAGCAGAGAGGCGCACGAGGGCGCGAAAGTGGTAGGGCGCTCGAGGGCGCTTCTAGCAGAACGGTGGGCCCTTAGGACTAAGCGGTCCTAGGTTCCTAACCTAGGCTCGTAATACCATGTCAGAATGAACAAGATTGTTTGCACTAGGAAAGAGGTGGGTACAAGTAGGAAACCCTAAACTTACTGTACCCCATAGTAACTACCCCACTACAGCCTAAACCAACTGTAGCAGATATAACATTTGACACGCGTCCAGTCAGAATGAGCCGTCACGCCTGTGAAGTGACGTGCCAAAGCTCTGTGCACAGTCAGAGAATGCCCTCGCGCGATTCTGATTCAGGAACCTGTAGGATTTCGATTCGTTAGAATTTACGAGACTGAAATAGATTTTGGTGTGTTTAAATTGTATTTCTTTTTATATAAGCACCGGCGCTTATGGCCGTTACTCAATTACAAGACCCCCCTTAAAAAAATGAGTGTATTATAAGCGCATATGCGCTACTATCTGGGGCCAGACTATACATGATATGTGTTTCGGCCAGGCAAGATACTAAAACCTAGTGTAACCATATGAAGCAGCCTGTGAACGCAAGAATCACATCGAACTGAGGACACTCATGAGACTGGCTTAAATGTGAACCGTGACTAAACAACGACGCATGTTGTCAAACTTATATGCTATAGTCTGTGGGAGAAAGGCCCCGCCCTCGCTTGGGCGCAGCCGATCTCATTGTCGACGAGAAGTTCGCGACGGATTGGTCGACAAAATGGGCTTCTGCAGTTCGACGGAAGTTGCGGTCGAGCAGGCTGTGCTCGACAGAATCCGGTCAACGAGCTCTGCGTCTGGTCGACGATCTCTGCGCGAAGAGCTCCCGTCAAAGAGCGCTGGTCGACGATCCTGGTCGAAGAACTCTGGTCGAAGAGTTCGGGTCGATGAGCGCTGCTCGGCGAACGCTGTTCAACCGAGCGGTGTCCAAAAGATCGACCAAACTTGCAGAGGTGTGCGAAACTCTGAGGAGGTGTGCGAAACTTCGCCGAGAAGGTATTGGCGAAGTTTGACCTGCGGAATGGCAGCACGTGGTCGACGGTGCGCACCTGGCGAAACAGACAACACGTATTCTACCTGGCACCTACGCAATGTGCCTGACGGTGAAACCAAATATCACAGAAAATATTCCTCACGTTGCGTCTCAAGAAGAACGTTCCTCACATTGCATCACCCATCATTCATTCCCCTCTCCCCTGCCCCACTCAAACCACGAGTCACCTTTTTCTAACCCTTCAGCTCCCCTCCGTGCCTCACCCAAAGTACCTTGTAGCTTGCCTTACTCTTTCCACTCTCTTCCCTACCTCACTCAAAGGACTGTTTACCTTGCCTAACCCCTCCCAGACTTGTCCCACATGGCCTCACTCCTTTCCCTGCCCCACCAAACACTCCAATAAATCTCATGGTCTTCTGAACTACGAGGCTAAGTAGGATGGAATCGATATAGGAGAGAACTGCCTGATGAAAATGCCTGGTCTAGAAAGGTACGGGGGCAACTCAGCAGCAGTACGGGGTAAGAATATAGTTGAAGTAGGTAACTGATCCTATCACAACTTGTTAAAGCAGGTGAAATAAAGGCGGAATAATTCCAACTTGGATTATTATGCTATGATCCAAGCGATTTGATTCTCAAGCAGCCGAGCTCCATAATGCCCATATAGTCCAATTATTTTCAGTCGTGAAAGAACTACCACCCTTCCCCCTTTCTAAGCACACATTGTTCCCATACAAGTCAACCACCCAACCCCAAACAGCACCCCGAGCACATGCAAACAGCAACAATACCTTCCTTGGTTATCAACCACTGCCCTGCTCTACTTGCGTCCGAGATTTCCAAAGAAGTTTGTGGCCTTCTCGAACCCTTGCTTCACGTCGTCCGCTGCCTTCCTGGCACCTTCCCTAACCTTCTCAAACCCCTGCTTCACCTCATTCGCTGCCTTCTTGGTATCCTCCCACCCTTTCTCCAGCTTTTCCGCTTGCTTCTTTTTGTCTTTCACCATCCTATCCCATTCCTTCTTAGAATACTTCGCAAGCTCCTTTCCAACCTCAGCGATGGCTTTCATTTCACTCGGCCCGATCTTCACCTTGACCGCCTTCCCCTTGAGCATCCGTCGGATCTCCTGCATCAGTGGTAAGATGGACGCATCTTTGACTGCCACTGGGGAGGACAGGTCGTCCGCCGCCAAGACGCCAACATCCCGCGCAGGATCAGATTCGAATATCGGCGCTGTAGCGGAGACCACATGCGCGGCGGCAATGAGCAAAGAGAGCACCAGTAAGAAAACGCGAAGCACGGCCATTGTAAGCAACCACCGGATTGGATTCGAAGGAAGCAGATGGAGTGGCCTCGCAAATGAATTGTGCGGAGCTAAATAGTGCCGCGAGCTGGGGCTGGTTTACTATAGGTTGGGTGCGGTCGATGCGATTATTCGTTGCTAGAGGCTATTGGCGCGACGCGAAATCTGCCGCTGGAAACGGGATGATTGGTCGAAGCGCGTTACTTGGTGATAGGCACTGAGCGTGTCTGGAAGTTTGCCGTCGTTCCTTGTCACTCACGCCATGGGCTAGCCCTAAGTGTTGAATTCACAGCCCAACTTCATTCTAGGACGCGTCACAATTGTCACAATCGACGGCGATCGATCGTGCCCATCACAGGTGGCGCGGCATCTGCGGGCTGCGTCTCCAATCGCATGGTCGATGCGTCATTTGACGCCATCTGACCTCGGCAATCGGAGGGATATCGATCGTGGCGAGGAGACTGGAGACACTAGACGGAAAAACAGAAACGAAACTATTCCCGAATTGACGAAGTTACTGCACACCCTGTACATCGCTCACAGGGTCGGTGTGACATTTGTTACACGTCCTTAGCACTTCAGGAGGCGCAAAAGTGACCGATATTTGGTTACCAGCGCGAAGCAAGCTGGTGCCAGACATGAAGCGCGGCGAGAAACGCGGTGGGCGGAAAGTCTCGCAATCATTGCAGGAGTGGTACAAATGTAGGTCCGTGAGTTGCGGAGACGTCAATAATGATAACAAATGTCTAGCGCTTACACTCCAGCTATCTCCTCAATAGGATTAGTCAAAGAAGAGTGTGCTAAATTGCAACGTCAAATAGGTGACAAGAAATTGAAGTCTGTAATCAATAAGGGTTCCCAAGTGTGCGCTTATTATTGAATTCCGGCCATAAGCGCAGTTCTTGAGATGGAATGGCATGCGCCTAACATAGGCCAGCGCTTATATCCGGGGCGGGGCCATACGGTACAGCAAACCTATTCATGATTCATTAGTAAATATAGTCACTTATAGTAAGCGCACACACACACACGCCGCCTGAACAAGCAGCCCCAGGGTTTGTACTGTCATGACTCACTATGTGCGTGGAGAAATTAGTGGGTTAGTGTCAAATCAAACAGTCAGAAAATATGACCTTGGAGCGTGCCACCACCTACATCAAGAGAGGCAGATGAGCAACATCCACCATCCCCACACCTCCTGTTGCTGGCCTCTCTCACCTATACCATCAACCAATCGCACCTGTTTAAGTTTAACCCTTTCTGCAGCCCTTCCACCAGCAACATTACTTCCCCTTCGAGCAGCCAAGGACACTACCACCGCCTCCCTCTCCTCCGTTGCACATGCGTGGCTTGAAGCCTTCTTTCACTGCCTGCTCAGCCATCCTGTGCTTCCAGCCTCGCCGTACTAAGGTTAGTCAGTCTGCATGTGCACGGCCTGCAGTAGCCATACCATCAATCACACATCTGCTTGTGAATGCTACTCTGGCACCGCTGTGTGCACGCCACGCTGCGCCTCGCCACGCACTCCATGCCAAACATGCCGTCATCTTGGGATCATCGGATGCGGGGCAGCAGCAGGAAGCCATCGAAGCCAGGGTGCCGGCCTGCTGTGCTGCGCACCGACCGCCTTCCTCCACCCGCCCCTCCCTCCACCACCCCGCCTCCCCTGCTCCCACCTTCTGCACCACCTGCTGCACCCTCTCGCCCCAAACTCTCACTTTCACTCGCTCTGCCATGCTGCCACGCACTGCCAACTGTCACACCCTCTGCTGCCGCTGCTGTTGCGCTTTCATGTGGGCGAGGGCTCATCTTCCCCTGGCCTGCTGTTGCGCTTTCATGTGGGCGAGGGCTCATCTTCCCCTGGCCTGCTGTTGCGCTTTCATGTGGGCGAGGGCTCATCTTCCCCTGGCCTGCTGTTGCGCTTTCATGTGGGCGAGGGCTCATCTTCCCCTGGCCTGCTGTTGCGCTTTCATGTGGGCGAGGGCTCATCTTCCCCTGGCCTGCTGTTGCGCTTTCATGTGGGCGAGGGCTCATCTTCCCCTGGCCTGCTCTTGCGCTTTCATGTGGGCGAGGGCTCATCTTCCCCTGGCCTGCTCTTGCGCTTTCATGTGGGCGAGGGCTCATCTTCCCCTGGCCTGCTCTTGCGCTTTCATGTGGGCGAGGGCTCATCTTCCCCTGGCCTGCTCTTGCGCTTTCATGTGGGCGAGGGCTCATCTTCCCCTGGCCTGCTCTTGCGCTTTCATGTGGGCGAGGGCTCATCTTCCCCTGGCCTGCTCTTGCGCTTTCATGTGGGCGAGGGCTCATCTTCCCCTGGCCTGCTCTTGCGCTTTCATGTGGGCGAGGGCTCATCTTCCCCTGGCCTGCTCTTGCCCTTTCATGTGGGCGAGGGCTCATCTTCCCCTGGCCTGCTCTTGCCCTTTCATGTGGGCGAGGGCTCATCTTCCCCTCGCCTGCTCTTGCGCTTTCATGTGGGCGAGGGCTCATCTTCCCCTCGCCTGCTCTTGCGCTTTCATGTGGGCGAGGGCTCATCTTCCCCTCGCCTGCTCTTGCGCTTTCATGTGGGCGAGGGCTCATCTTCCCCTCGCCTGCTCTTGCGCTTTCATGTGGGCGAGGGCTCATCTTCCCCTCGCCTGCTCTTGCGCTTTCATGTGGGCGAGGGCTCATCTTCCCCTCGCCTGCTCTTGCGCTTTCATGTGGGCGAGGGCTCATCTTCCCCTCGCCTGCTCTTGCGCTTTCATGTGGGCGAGGGCTCATCTTCCCCTCGCCTGCTCTTGCGCTTTCATGTGGGCGAGGGCTCATCTTCCCCTCGCCTGCTCTTGCGCTTTCATGTGGGCGAGGGCTCATCTTCCCCTCGCCTGCTCTTGCGCTTTCATGTGGGCGAGGGCTCATCTTCCCCTCGCCTGCTCTTGCGCTTTCATGTGGGCGAGGGCTCATCTTCCCCTCGCCTGCTCTTGCGCTTTCATGTGGGCGAGGGCTCATCTTCCCCTCGCCTGCTCTTGCGCTTTCATGTGGGCGAGGGCTCATCTTCCCCTCGCCTGCTCTTGCGCTTTCATGTGGGCGAGGGCTCATCTTCCCCTCGCCTGCTCTTGCGCTTTCATGTGGGCGAGGGCTCATCTTCCCCTCGCCTGCTCTTGCGCTTTCATGTGGGCGAGGGCTCATCTTCCCCTCGCCTGCTCTTGCGCTTTCATGTGGGCGAGGGCTCATCTTCCCCTCGCCTGCTCTTGCGCTTTCATGTGGGCGAGGGCTCATCTTCCCCTCGCCTGCTCTTGCGCTTTCATGTGGGCGAGGGCTCATCTTCCCCTCGCCTGCTCTTGCGCTTTCATGTGGGCGAGGGCTCATCTTCCCCTCGCCTGCTCTTGCGCTTTCATGTGGCCGAGGGCTCATCTTCCCCTCGCCTGCTCTTGCGCTTTCATGTGGCCGAGGGCTCATCTTCCCCTCGCCTGCTCTTGCGCTTTCATGTGGCCGAGGGCTCATCTTCCCCTCGCCTGCTCTTGCGCTTTCATGTGGCCGAGGGCTCATCTTCCCCTCGCCTGCTCTTGCGCTTTCATGTGGCCGAGGGCTCATCTTCCCCTCGCCTGCTCTTGCGCTTTCATGTGGCCGAGGGCTCATCTTCCCCTCGCCTGCTCTTGCGCTTTCATGTGGCCGAGGGCTCATCTTCCCCTCGCCTGCTCTTGCGCTTTCATGTGGCCGAGGGCTCATCTTCCCCTCGCCTGCTCTTGCGCTTTCATGTGGCCGAGGGCTCATCTTCCCCTCGCCTGCTCTTGCGCTTTCATGTGGCCGAGGGCTCATCTTCCCCTCGCCTGCTCTTGCGCTTTCATGTGGCCGAGGGCTCATCTTCCCCTCGCCTGCTCTTGCGCTTTCATGTGGCCGAGGGCTCATCTTCCCCTCGCCTGCTCTTGCGCTTTCATGTGGCCGAGGGCTCATCTTCCCCTCGCCTGCTCTTGCGCTTTCATGTGGCCGAGGGCTCATCTTCCCCTCGCCTGCTCTTGCGCTTTCATGTGGCCGAGGGCTCATCTTCCCCTCGCCTGCTCTTGCGCTTTCATGTGGCCGAGGGCTCATCTTCCCCTCGCCTGCTCTTGCGCTTTCATGTGGCCGAGGGCTCATCTTCCCCTGGCCTGCTGTGCGTGTGCCTGGCATGGCACTCTCAATCGCCCGCACCCTGTCTCCACTTCTCTTATCTTGGCTATCTCCCCTGCCTTTCCTCCTCTGACCCTCACCGCCCTTCCCTTCTAGGCAGCAAACCTTTTCTGCTGAGCTAGCAACCTTGGCTGCTGAGCTGGCAACCTTGGCGGTCGAGCTGGCAGTCATACCAGTAGAGGGGACCGTGGTACCAACAGAGCAGGCAGCAGTGCCAGCTGCTGTGCCAGCAGCAGCTGCTGCAGCAGTGGAGCCAACAGCGCAGTGAGCAGGTGCGTTGGGAGGAGCAGGAGGGTGTGTGGCAGCAAGAGCTCAAGGTGGCTCGGCCGTGCTGACAGCACCTGCCTTGGGTCGGTCGCTGCGCCGCTTCTTGAGGACCGGGAAGGAGAGAGCGGGCTGCTTGAGGGGCAATGTTGAGAGTTTGGAGATGCGGTCTGCAGTGGTACCGGCGGTGGCACTTGTGGTGGCACCTGTGGTGGCAGCTGCGGTGGTAGCTGTGGCGGCAGCTGTGGTGGCAGCAGTGGTGGCAGCTGTGGTGGCAGCTGTGGTGGCAGCTGTGGTGGCAGCTGTGGTGGCAGTTGTGGTGGCAGCTGTGGTGGCAGCTGTGGTGGTAGCTGTGGTGGCAGCTGTGGCGGCAGCTGTGGTGGCAGCTGTGGTAATAGCTGTGGTGGTAGCTTTGGTGGCAGGGCAGGATACCTGTGATGTGTCTCCACGGCTCGCGAGTGTATCATCTTGAGGCGCTCTTGCTGTTGCTCGTATGCTTGCTGTGGTTGTTCGTGTGGATCCTGTTGCGGTTACTCCATTGCTTCCTGCTGTGCTTGCTGCTGCTGCAGCGATGGCGGCTAACTCAGCTGATAGCAGCACAGCAGCTTGTTCTTCTGCTGCTGCCTTGCTGCGCTGCACCCCACCAGCACTTCCCGCACTGCCAGCACACCCATCCCCATCCCCATCCCCATCGCCATCGCCATCGCTGCTGTCTCCCGCCCTCACCTCACCGCCTCCCCCACCACTCCCCTCCAAACTACCTCTCTCCTCCTCTTCCTCACGGACCTGCTCCTCTTCCCACTCACTCTCACGCCTGCCCCTGCCTCACCCCCTGGGGCAGGCGGGCAGGCAGCTGGCGATGCCAGCAGTGCAGGCAGAGGAGCAGCAGCAGGGGAGGTGGCCGGGGGGGCAGGGAGTGAAGGGGAGAGAGGGCGAGAGGCCATGCGGGATGGATCGGTGGGTTGAGGAAGGGAGGAGCAGGCAGGCAGAAGCGGTGAGGCGATGCAGGAGGCGGGGGCAGGCTCGTATGTTACAGTCGGGCCACGGGGGCAGGTTGTAGCACAAGCAGGCACGGCCATGCAGCTGCCTCCTTGCAGGGCCGCTGTGTGCAGGGCGCGAGGGCTCCTCTTGCCCTTGGTGGCTGCGGCCGTGGCACCAGCGCCAGCTGAGGCAACTGTGGCAGCGGTAGCAGCAGCGACAGCGGTGGCAGCGGAGGCAGTACCACTGGTCGCCACACTGCATGCAGCCCTGGGAGCAACACTCACACTCGCTTCTGCTGCACCCCCAACAGCCACTGCTCCTGCTCTCCCCTTACCCACACGCCCTGCCTTGCCTTCCCCGCCTGCTGCCAGCTTCCGCTTGGCACTGCGAGAGCCTTTCAGCCCGGACGCCTTCAGTTCCGAGGCAGCACCTGCGGTGCCGATTCCCCCACGTGCTGTCGCAGCTGCTTTGCCTGACGGCGCTACAGTTTTTGCTACAGCCAGAGGCGTCGCTGTGCGTGCGGGAGAGGGTGCGGTGAGCAGCGATGCAGTGGGTGGTGCGGTGGGAGGAGGCGATTGAGTGGCAGGAGGAGTAGTTGCAGCGGTATCAGCCTTGAGGCGCGATGCCAGGCGGGCCACAGCGCGGCGCAGGGTCTGATAGTGGCGCGGGGTGGCAGGGAGAGGAGGGACAGGGAAGGGAGATAAGGTGAATGCAGCAAGAGGTGAATAGTCAGCAGCACTTGATCAGCATTCTCCATGACGACAGCAGCAGGTTCGCTGCTCACCTTGATCTCTGGGCGCAGGTCCACAGGCAGGGCAGAGGCGTGGCTGATGAGCGCGCGCAGATGTGACAGACGCTGGGCGGCCTGGCGCTCTGACAGCTGTGACTGAGATGAGAGTGCCTTGCTGAAGCAAGACAGCCACTCAGAACGGCATCAGTTGTGCCTACTGTGTGCGAGCCCTGGAGGACAGACAAGGGAGGGGAGGGGTGAAGGAGGAGGATTGAGAGATGGAAGAAGGTGGGACAGAAAAAGACTCTTGGCATGCACACAGAGAGTATAATGGAGCGAAGAGAGCAACGGAAAGACAAGAGAAGTGGGGTTGGAGACACTAAGATCTGCTCGTTACACAGTATCGCCGTAAGTGCAATTCTGTTTGTATAAGCCACTATCTCACCGTCTGCACCAGCTGTGCCAGGGTGGAAGGTCGGGGCCGTGGGCGGCCAATGAGAGCGCTACACGTGGCAGCCCTCCAGCAGTGGGCGGCCACTGCCCTCTGCATCACCGCCAGCGTGCCGACCGCCCGACTTCCTCAGCACCAAGGTAGTCGACAGCGGCAGCAGAGGCGACCGAGGGGAGAAGGGGGGGAGGGGAACACCCGTCAAAGAAGGGCGTGCGGGGGTCGCCACAAGAGGCACCTACAGCAACTATGCTAGCCTCAGCTGCAAGCAGATGCTTCTCGAGCAGGTCAACGGTGAGCTCGGTGGGGCAGAGGGCGAGAAAGTGGTCCCTGACTGCGCGAAGAGAGTCAGGGAGACGGGTGACTAGGTGGTAGAGAACGAGGTACATCGGGGGCGGATTCTTGGCGAGGAACTCAGCAGGAAGGGCGGCTCGGTAGCGAGTGTCACTAGTGCGGAGGTGTGTAATGACGTCAGCGACTGTGGGAAAGGCGGCCAAATCGGGGAAGAGATAGGGCAGCGAGAGACGGTCGATCGTAGCAGAGGCAGGCGAGGAGTAGCGCGCGACTACTGCATCGTACAGTGCCTTAGCAGTCTTGTGCTGGCCAAAATGCGCGCGCTAATCTAACGGCCGGTGACTGCAAATGGCTAGGCGAGCGTGAGCGTCACGAGTCTGCCACTGGGAGCGAGCTGTACTGTCAGCAGTCTCTACAAGTGCTAGAGCGGTTCCGGACGCGTGATCATACAGTGAGACATCGTCCTTGGCAGTGATCTGTAGGAACAGGTGGAGGTCGTCGAGCCAAGCATCAATCTGAATCGGACGGCCCTCAGCATCGAAAGAGAGGACGGTGGGACTAGCCATAGTGGCAGCAGTAGTAGTAGCAGCAGTAGCAGTAGCAGCAGTAGCAGTAGGAACAGAAGCAGTAGGAGCGGGCGGAACAGCAGTAGCAGTAGGGCAGCGCGGCACGGTTCGGGCAGGGCGGCTCGGCGCGGCTCAGGCAGGGCGGCGCGGCGCGGCTCGGACTGGGCTATGCGGCGCGGCTCGGACGGGCAGGGCGGCGCTACGGTGGGCCTGCGCGTGGGCTGCTGTTGCGTACGGGCCGCGGCTGCGCGTGGGCTGCAGTCGCACGCGGGCAGCGAGCTACGCGCTGGCTGCAGCGGCCGGTGCGCAAGCAGCTGCGACGCGCGGGCTGCGCGCGGGGCCGCACGAGGACGGCGCAGGCTGCGCGCGGGCGGTGCTGGTCGTGCGTGGGCGGTTAACGGCCTACGCGCGCTAGAAACGGGCCGCGCGCGGGCGGCTAGCGGGCTGCACGCGCTAAAAACGGGCCGCGCGCGGGCGGCTAGCGAGCTGCGCACGGGCAGCGTGAGAGAGAGAGGCGCGCGAGGGCGCACTAGCAGAGAGGCGCACGAGGGCGCGAAAGTGGTAGGGCGCTCGAGGGCGCTTCTAGCAGAACGGTGGGCCCTTAGGACTAAGCGGTCCTAGGTTCCTAACCTAGGCTCGTAATACCATGTCAGAATGAACAAGATTGTTTGCACTAGGAAAGAGGTGGGTACAAGTAGGAAACCCTAAACTTACTGTACCCCATAGTAACTACCCCACTACAGCCTAAACCAGCTGTAGCAGATATAACATTTGACACGCGTCCAGTCAGAATGAGCCGTCACGCCTGTGAAGTGACGTGCCAAAGCTCTGTGCACAGTCAGAGAATGCCCTCGCGCGATTCTGATTCAGGAACCTGTAGGATTTCGATTCGTTAGAATTTACGAGACTGAAATAGATTTTGGTGTGTTTAAATTGTATTTCTTTTTATATAAGCACCGGCGCTTATGGCCGTTACTCAATTACAAGACCCCCCTTAAAAAAATGAGTGTATTATAAGCGCATATGCGCTACTATCTGGGGCCAGACTATACATGATATGTGTTTCGGCCAGGCAGGATACTAAAACCTAGTGTAACCATATGAAGCAGCCTGTGAACGCAAGAATCACATCGAACTGAGGACACTCATGAGACTGGCTTAAATGTGAACCGTGACTAAACAACGACGCATGTTGTCAAACTTATATGCTATAGTCTGTGGGAGAAAGGCCCCGCCCTCGCTTGGGCGCAGCCGATCTCATTGTCGACGAGAAGTTCGCGACGGATTGGTCGACAAAATGGGCTTCTGCAGTTCGACGGAAGTTGCGGTCGAGCAGGCTGTGCTCGACAGAATCCGGTCAACGAGCTCTGCGTCTGGTCGACGATCTCTGCGCGAAGAGCTCCCGTCAAAGAGCGCTGGTCGACGATCCTGGTCGAAGAAATCTGGTCGAAGAGTTCGGGTCGATGAGCGCTGCTCGGCGAACGCTGTTCAACCGAGCGGTGTCCAAAAGATCGACCAAACTTGCAGAGGTGTGCGAAACTCTGAGGAGGTGTGCGAAACTTCGCCGAGAAGGTATTGGCGAAGTTTGACCTGCGGAATGGCAGCACGTGGTCGACGGTGCGCACCTGGCGAAACAGACAACATGTATTCTACCTGGCACCTACGCAATGTGCCTGACGGTGAAACCAAATATCACAGAAAATATTCCTCACGTTGCGTCTCAAGAAGAACGTTCCTCACATTGCATCACCCATCATTCATTCCCCTCTCCCCTGCCCCACTCAAACCACGAGTCACCTTTTTCTAACCCTTCAGCTCCCCTCCCTGCCTCACCCAAAGTACCTTGTAGCTTGCCTTACTCTTTCCACTCTCTTCCCTACCTCACTCAAAGGACTGTTTACCTTGCCTAACCCCTCCCAGACTTGTCCCACATGGCCTCACTCCTTTCCCTGCCCCACCAAACACTCCAATAAATCTCATGGTCTTCTGAACTACGAGGCTAGGTAGGATGGAATCGATATAGGAGAGAACTGCCTGATGAAAATGCCTGGTCTAGAAAGGTACGGGGGCAACTCAGCAGCAGTACGGGGTAAGAATATAGTTGAAGTAGGTAACTGATCCTATCACAACTTGTTAAAGCAGGTGAAATAAAGGCGGAATAATTCCAACTTGGATTATTATGCTATGATCCAAGCGATTTGATTCTCAAGCAGCCGAGCTCCATAATGCCCATATAGTCCAATTATTTTCAGTCGTGAAAGAACTACCACCCTTCCCCCTTTCTAAGCACACATTGTTCCCATACAAGTCAACCACCCAACCCCAAACAGCACCCCGAGCACATGCAAACAGCAACAATACCTTCCTTGGTTATCAACCACTGCCCTGCTCTACTTGCGTCCGAGATTTCCAAAGAAGTTTGTGGCCTTCTCGAACCCTTGCTTCACGTCGTCCGCTGCCTTCCTGGTACCTTCCCCAACCTTCTCAAACCCCTGCTTCACCTCATTCGCTGCCTTCTTGGTATCCTCCCACCCTTTCTCCAGCTTTTCCGCTTGCTTCTTTTTGTCTTTCACCATCCTATCCCATTCCTTCTTAGAATACTTCGCAAGCTCCTTTCCAACCTCAGCGATGGCTTTCATTTCACTCGGCCCGATCTTCACCTTGACCGCCTTCCCCTTGAGCATCCGTCGGATCTCCTGCATCAGTGGTAAGATGGACGCATCTTTGACTGCCACTGGGGAGGACAGGTCGTCCGCCGCCAAGACGCCAACATCCCGCGCAGGATCAGATTCGAATATCGGCGCTGTAGCGGAGACCACATGCGCGGCGGCAATGAGCAAAGAGAGCACCAGTAAGAAAACGCGAAGCACGGCCATTGTAAGCAACCACCGGATTGGATTCGAAGGAAGCAGATGGAGTGGCCTCGCAAATGAATTGTGCGGAGCTAAATAGTGCCGCGAGCTGGGGCTGGTTTACTATAGGTTGGGTGCGGTCGATGCGATTATTCGTTGCTAGAGGCTATTGGCGCGACGCGAAATCTGCCGCTGGAAACGGGATGATTGGTCGAAGCGCGTTACTTGGTGATAGGCACTGAGCGTGTCTGGAAGTTTGCCGTCGTTCCTTGTCACTCACGCCATGGGCTAGCCCTAAGTGTTGAATTCACAGCCCAACTTCATTCTAGGACGCGTCACAATTGTCACAATCGACGGCGATCGATCGTGCCCATCACAGGTGGCGCGGCATCTGCGGGCTGCGTCTCCAATCGCATGGTCGATGCGTCATTTGACGCCATCTGACCTCGGCAATCGGAGGGATATCGATCGTGGCGAGGAGACTGGAGACACTAGACGGAAAAACAGAAACGAAACTATTCCCGAATTGACGAAGTTACTGCACACCCTGTACATCGCTCACAGGGTCGGTGTGACATTTGTTACACGTCCTTAGCACTTCAGGAGGCGCAAAAGTGACCGATATTTGGTTACCAGCGCGAAGCAAGCTGGTGCCAGACATGAAGCGCGGCGAGAAACGCGGTGGGCGGAAAGTCTCGCAATCATTGCAGGAGTGGTACAAATGTAGGCCCGTGAGTTGCGGAGACGTCAATAATGATAACAAATGTCTAGCGCTTACACTCCAGCTATCTCCTCAATAGGATTAGTCAAAGAAGAGTGTGCTAAATTGCAACGTCAAATAGGTGACAAGAAATTGAAGTCTGTAATCAATAAGGGTTCCCAAGTGTGCGCTTATTATTAAATTCCGGCCATAAGCGCAGTTCTTGAGATAGAATGGCATGCGCCTAGTTAGGCCAGCGCTTATATCCGGGGCGGGGCCATACGGTACAGCAAACCTATTCATGATTCATTAGTAAATATAGTCACTTATAGTAAGCGCACACACACACACGCCGCCTGAACAAGCAGCCCCAGGGGTTGTACTGTCATGACTCACTATGTGCATGGAGAAATTAGTGGGTTAGTGTCAAATCAAACAGTCAGAAAATATGACCTTGGAGCGTGCCACCACCTACATCAAGAGAGGCAGATGAGCAACATCCACCATCCCCACACCTCCTGTTGCTGGCCTCTCTCACCTATACCATCAACCAATCGCACCTGTTTAAGTTTAACCCTTTCAGCAGCCCTTCCACCAGCAACATTACTTCCCCTTCGAGCAGCCAAAGACACTACCACCGCCTCCCTCTCCTCCGTTGCACATGCGTGGCTTGAAGCCTTCTTTCACTGCCTGCTCAGCCATCCTGTGCTTCCAGCCTCGCCGTAACAAGGTTAGTCAGTCTGCATGTGCACGGCCTGCAGTAGCCATACCATCAATCACACATCTGCTTGTGAATGCTACTCTGGCACCGCTGTGTGCACGCCACGCTGCGCCTCGCCACGCACTCCATGCCAAACATGCCGTCATCTTGGGATCATCGGATGCGGGGCAGCAGCAGGAAGCCATCGAAGCCAGGGTGCCGGCCTGCTGTGCTGCGCACCGACCGCCTTCCTCCACCCGCCCCTCCCTCCACCACCCCGCCTCCCCTGCTCCCACCTTCTGCACCACCTGCTGCACCCTCTCGCCCCAAACTCTCACTTTCACTCGCTCTGCCATGCTGCCACGCACTGCCAACTGTCACACCCTCTGCTGCCGCTGCTGTTGCGCTTTCATGTGGCCGAGGGCTCATCTTCCCCTGGCCTGCTCTTGCGCTTTCATGTGGCCGAGGGCTCATCTTCCCCTGGCCTGCTCTTGCGCTTTCATGTGGCCGAGGGCTCATCTTCCCCTGGCCTGCTCTTGCGCTTTCATGTGGCCGAGGGCTCATCTTCCCCTGGCCTGCTCTTGCGCTTTCATGTGGCCGAGGGCTCATCTTCCCCTGGCCTGCTCTTGCGCTTTCATGTGGCCGAGGGCTCATCTTCCCCTGGCCTGCTCTTGCGCTTTCATGTGGCCGAGGGCTCATCTTCCCCTGGCCTGCTCTTGCGCTTTCATGTGGCCGAGGGCTCATCTTCCCCTGGCCTGCTGTGCGTGTGCCTGGCATGGCACTCTCAATCGCCCGCACCCTGTCTCCACTTCTCTTATCTTGGCTATCTCCCCTGCCTTTCCTCCTCTGACCCTCACCGCCCTTCCCTTCTAGGCAGCAAACCTTTTCTGCTGAGCTAGCAACCTTGGCTGCTGAGCTGGCAACCTTGGCGGTCGAGCTGGCAGTCATACCAGTAGAGGGGACAGTGGTACCAACAGAGCAGGCAGCAGTGCCAGCTGCTGTGCCAGCAGCAGCTGCTGCAGCAGTGGAGCCAACAGCGCAGTGAGCAGGTGCGTTGGGAGGAGCAGGAGGGTGTGTGGCAGCAAGAGCTCAAGGTGGCTCGGCCGTGCTGACAGCACCTGCCTTGGGTCGGTCGCTGCGCCGCTTCTTGAGGACCGGGAAGGAGAGAGCGGGCTGCTTGAGGGGCAATGTTGAGAGTTTGGAGATGCGGTCTGCAGTGGTACCGGCGGTGGCACTTGTGGTGGCACCTGTGGTGGCAGCTGCGGTGGTAGCTGTGGCGGCAGCTGTGGTGGCAGCAGTGGTGGCAGCTGTGGTGGCAGCTATGGTGGCAGCTGTGGTGGCAGCTGTGGTGGCAGCTGTGGTGGCAGTTGTGGTGGCAGCTGTGGTGGCAGCTGTGGTGGTAGCTGTGGTGGCAGCTGTGGCGGCAGCTGTGGTGGCAGCTGTGGTAATAGCTATGGTGGCAGGGCAGGATACCTGTGATGTGTCTCCACGGCTCGCGAGTGTATCATCTTGAGGCGCTCTTGCTGTTGCTCGTATGCTTGCTGTGGTTGTTCGTGTGGATCCTGTTGCGGTTACTCCATTGCTTCCTGCTGTGCTTGCTGCTGCTGCAGCGACGGCGGCTAACTCAGCTGATAGCAGCACAGCAGCTTGTTCTTCTGCTGCTGCCTTGCTGCGCTGCACCCCACCAGCACTTCCCGCACTGCCAGCACACCCATCCCCATCCCCATCCCCATCGCCATCGCCATCGCTGCTGTCTCCCGCCCTCACCTCACCGCCTCCCCCACCACTCCCCTCCAAACTACCTCTCTCCTCCTCTTCCTCACGGACCTGCTCCTCTTCCCACTCACTCTCACGCCTGCCCCTGCCTCACCCCCTGGGGCAGGCGGGCAGGCAGCTGGCGATGCCAGCGGTGCAGGCAGAGGAGCAGCAGCAGGGGAGGTGGCCGGGGGGGCAGGGAGTGAAGGGGAGAGAGGGCGAGAGGCCATGCGGGATGGATTGGTGGGTTGAGGAAGGGAGGAGCAGGCAGGCAGAAGCGGTGAGGCGATGCAGGAGGCGGGGGCAGGCTCGTATGTTACAGTCGGGCCACGGGGGCAGGTTGTAGCACAAGCAGGCACGGCCATGCAGCTGCCTCCTTGCAGGGCCGCTGCGTGCAGGGCGCGAGGGCTCCTCTTGCCCTTGGTGGCTGCGGCCGTGGCACCAGCGCCAGCTGAGGCAACTGTGGCAGCGGTAGCAGCAGCGACAGCGGTGGCAGCGGAGGCAGTACCACTGGTCGCCACACTGCATGCAGCCCTGGGAGCAACACTCACACTCGCTTCTGCTGCACCCCCAACAGCCACTGCTCCTGCTCTCCCCTTACCCACACGCACTGCCTTGCCTTCCCCGCCTGCTGCCAGCTTCCGCTTGGCACTGCGAGAGCCTTTCAGCCCGGACGCCTTCAGTTCCGAGGCAGCACCTGCGGTGCCGATTCCCCCACGTGCTGTCGCAGCTGCTTTGCCTGACGGCGCTACAGTTTTTGCTACAGCCAGAGGCGTCGCTGTGCGTGCGGGAGAGGGTGCGGTGAGCAGCGATGCAGTGGGTGGTGCGGTGGGAGGAGGCGATTGAGTGGCAGGAGGAGTAGTTGCAGCGGTATCAGCCTTGAGGCGCGATGCCAGGCGGGCCACAGCGCGGCGCAGGGTCTGATAGTGGCGCGGGGTGGCAGGGAGAGGAGGGACAGGGAAGGGAGATAAGGTGAATGCAGCAAGAGGTGAATAGTCAGCAGCACTTGATCAGCATTCTCCATGACGACAGCAGCAGGTTCGCTGCTCACCTTGATCTCTGGGCGCAGGTCCACAGGCAGGGCAGAGGCGTGGCTGATGAGCGCACGCAGATGTGACAGACGCTGGGCGGCCTGGCGCTCTGACAGCTGTGACTGAGATGAGAGTGCCTTGCTGAAGCAAGACAGCCACTCAGAAGCTGCCTCGTGTCGCTGTTTGGCTTCCCCGAGAACGTTGTTGTGCCTACTGTGTGCGAGCCCTGGAGGACAGACAGGGGAGGGGAGGGGTGAAGGAGGAGGATTGAGAGATGGAAGAAGGTGGGACAGAAAAAGACTCTTGGCATGCACACAGAGAGTATAATGGAGCGAAGAGAGCAACGGAAAGACAAGAGAAGTGGGGTTGGAGACACTAAGATCTGCTCGTTACACAGTATCGCCGTAAGTGCAATTCTGTTTGTATAAGCCACTATCTCACCGTCTGCACCAGCTGTGCCAGGGTGGAAGGTCGGGGCCGTGGACGGCCAATGAGAGCGCTACACGTGGCAGCCCTCCAGCAGTGGGCGGCCACTGCCCTCTGCATCACCGCCAGCGTGCCGCCCGCCTCAACAGAGCAGCCTGTCCCTGCCTCCGACACCGCCGCTGCCGCTGGCCCTGTCGGCACTGTTGGCCCTCCTCCACCATCCTTGGCGCTCTGCCCTGCCGACTGCTGCACCTCCTGTTGCCCTCCAGCCACCACTCCCACAGTCGCTGCCGCGGCAGCAGCTGCAGTGCCGGTGACATGCTTCGTGTGATCCCCTTGCACCAGATGCTGCTGCTGCTGCTGGCGTGTGGGCGGTGAGAGAACTGCATTCACGTGCAGCAGCCACGAGGCAAGAGGCTCTGCTGCCTGCGCTGCTATTGAATCTGGTGCCGCTGGTGTGGCAGCAGGGGCAGTGGAGGAGAGCGATGGCGGAGAGGCAAGTGGCATGTCGAGTGGAAGACAGGAGGCCACCTGCAGATGGGATGCGGATTGGGGGTTGAGAGTGAGTGACTGAAGGCCCGATCGCAAACAAAGATTTGACAAGTGGCAGGAGATGATATCATTTGAAATATAAAGATAAATACCTACTTGAGACAAAGGGTCAGCCATAACCTGAAACAATGCTGAAAAATCACCTGAAGCAGACAGCTGAGTATGGAGGGAGGCAGGGGTTCGGCATGACGTGGCAAGGACAGGGTGGTGGAGAGCGCTGATGTCAGCAAGTGAGAGCAACGCGTTGCTGATTGGACGAGTTGCTCCAAGCTGTGCACGGCTGCGATCCTGGTGGGGCCGAGCAGAGAGTGAGAGAGCGAACAGGGGGGGACATGCCGCACGATGCAAGAAGCAGGCTGGCTGAAATGTGCACCCTGCTCTGAGTCGAGAGAGGATGGGGTTCAGCTTGGCCGAGAGAGTGTGTGCGCATGGCAAACCGGGTGCAATGCGTGTGTGGTGGCGGGGGCACAAGCATACATCTGTGCAATGCGTGAATGCCATGTGCGGGAAAGTGCGCGTTGAAGTGAGCAAGAGCGTGCAAGCATGTGCACATGCGTGCATGTGTACACGTTTGGATGAGCGAGAGCGGTACCTGGGGTGGAGAGGGAGAGCGCGAGAGAGCAGGCCCACCAAGCACCGCAGCGACACGCGGGGCAGGCGACGAGGCTGCACAGCAGGAGGGCGTGAGGGACAGACGAGGGGGAGGGGGAGGGAGAAGCATGGAGAGGAGCGAGTGGAGGGAGCGAGTGGAGGGAGCGAGTGGAGGGAGCATGCACTCGCGCTGCTGGTGGCAAGTGAGGCGGATGCATGTGCAGGTGGAAGAGGGACGTGCAGGTGGAAGAGGGACGTGCAGGTGGAAGAGGGACGTGCAAGTGGAAGAGGGACGTGCAAGCGTGCTCCTGTGGTGGTATGGCATTTTAGCAGGAGCAGTGGGGCGGCAGGACGTACATGGAACAATGCTGAGACGGCAGGTGTGACGGCTGCTGAGGCGAGGGAGGAGCAGAACGGGCATGTGAAGGGACCCTGCTGCTGCTGCTGCTGCTGCTGCTGCTGCGGCGGCAACGACTGCTGTTTCTCAGTGCTCTGGTCGTGCCGTTGCCGCTGCTGCGGCTGTGGGTGGCTGTCTCTGTCTGTACCTGGTGGAACTACCCCACCACCCGCCCCCCCACCCTGCTCTGCCCTTGCCTGCTGCTGCCCTGCTGCCTCTCGCTTCTGCTCTTGCGCCTTCTCCTGCTGCTGCTCGTCTTGAGCGGCGGAGGGGGCGGCAGCATGCAAGTATGAGAGACAGTCGGCGTGGAATCTGTGAGGGTGTAGAGTGAGGCAGGCAAGGGGAGGCGGTCGGAGGGAAGGCACACACAATGGAGGGAATGGGAATTGCAGCAGGCTCGCAATGAAGGAAAGGAAATATGCAGTGAGGGTGGGGGCAACCGTGGAGCAAGGAGGGGGGAGTATGCTTTATGATAAGATCCACATACCTCATGCTGCATCCGTCGCATATAAGTGCATCCTTCATGCCTTCGCCCTTCAATCCATATCCATTCTCTAACTTCTGCTCCTCCTCCTTTGCTTCACCCTTCTCCAAACGCACTGCTCCCATATTCCCTTCCCTATCGCCTCTTGCTTCTCCTGCCTTCTCTTCCCTCTTCTCCCATGACATCCCTGCGCCGCCTGCACCACTCTCTCGCCCAACAGCACCGCACACAACAGCAGCGGCTCTCCTCCCACCGCTGCGCTTTCCCCGAACCCGGACATCCCCACCGCCTCCTCCCGCCTGCCCGCCAACCACTGCCTGCCCGTCGCTGCCGCCAGAGAAACCAGCAGAAGCAGCACATGCAGGGTGGGCGTGGTGCAGCACCGCACACCAGCAAACGGTGTCGGACGAAGAGACGCTTCCAGCAACCGCCGCCGCAGCAGCACCAGGCGGAGCAGGTACAGGTGCCTCTGATGCCTCTGGCGCCCCTCGCACTGCTGCTGCTACTGCCGGTGCCACACCTGGTGCCGGCGCATGAGCTGGTGCTGTGGCTGTGGGGGCCGTGGCTGCGGGAGATGCGGCGGCAGCCACGGCATCTGCGGTGGCACCTACTGCACTGCCTGCCAGCACTGCGGGATGAGGAGCATTGGCTGACGCAGAGAAGGGTTGAGCCGGCAGAGCAGTGAGGTGTGAGAGGGCAGCGGTGCGGCGGGCCAGGGAGGAGATGCGATGAAGAGCTGCTTGCACGCTGCTGTGCATGTGCTTCAGCTTCCGCACCACCTCCTCCTCACACACCCGCCCCTTGCCCTCCCCGTGCAGCCCCTTACCCTCCCCTGGTGCCACACTCCCCTCCCCTTGTGCCCCCTCGCCTCCTCCTCTCGCCCCCTCGTCCCCTGAGCCCCCCCGGAGGGCAGCACAGCAGGCAACGAGCCAGTCGTCCAGCGCTGCCACTGCCTGCTGCACCTGCCGGGCCTCCCCGCTCGCCACCACGCTGCTGCTGCCGCGCACCTGGTGTGAGAGTGGGTGGGTGGGCCACAGGGGGAAACGAGGAGCGGTGGCTTGCTTGGGGCAACGTTAAAGAAGGGAGATTGTAGCTGACACTTTGGAGAATTGAAATGAGAGGATTGGATGGAGGGAGAGACGAGATGAGCTGGAGTGGGAATGGAGAAGGGCGCGTTGGAGGAAGAAGGGAGGGAGGGATGGAAGTTAAGGAACACAGCCGAGTGCACATTGCGGGAGGAGATGGAAGCACAGTATGAAACGTGAGATGCCACGCATATTCAGAGATATGGCTTGTGTGAGGCATACCTGGAGGCCCTTGAGGTGCGCAAGTGTTGTGGCAGGTGCACGGGGCAGCAGCGGAGGTGGTGAGGTGGGCGCAGGGAGGCGTGGGGCGAGCAGTTGCTGCACCTCGCTGACCCACTCCCTGGTAGGCAGGGCACATCCACGGAGGGGGGTGGGTGGGCACAAGGGTGTGTGTGTGTGCGCTAGGAGTGGAAGGCACAGCGGTGAGCAAGCACATAAGTGGGCAGCAGCACAGGGACCGAGAGCACAGGAAGAAACTGTGGTGGCCACTCCCTAAACCCCAGCATTGCACCACAACAAGAGACGTGCGTGGGAGAGGTGCAGGCGCTGACCTGTGGGAGGCGATGACGGTGCTGAGCTGGTGGCACTTGTCGTGCACACACACCTGCAAGGCCTGCACCAATAGCATGGCGTGGAGGGGCATGGGGGCCAACGAGAGGCAAGCAACAGATGGGAGGGCACACAGGTGGGGCCACCAGTCGCTACAACGGCTGCAGCAGAGGTGCCTCGAGCTGTGGCTAGTTCACATGGATAGATGGTACAAGGGCGCTGTACACAAAACAGAATAACCAGATTACTACAGATAGAACACACGCACATAACCCCCATTCACCCTAGCGCACAACCCTCACTTCACCCCTTGCTCCACTCCCCTCCCTCCATCTCTCTCACCATGCCACGTGCCACCATCGCCTCCACCTCCTGCACCTCACAGCTGGCAGGGCCACGTGTCAGCATCTCATTGGCCGCCTGCACCCACTGCCGTGCGTCCGCCAGGGCTGAGTGCAGCAGGGAGAGGCGCGCCGAGGGGGGCGGAGAGGGGGCGGATGCAGCAGGCTGAGCAAGGCCCTCGGATGGAGCTGCTGATGGTAGTGGTGGTGCTGATGGCGTTGGGTGGGGTGGAGGGTGGGCGAGCGCATCAGTGAGTGGGTAAGCCGCCACCAGTGCCTCCACCTCCTCCACGCTGGGCTTGCCTCGCCTCTCACCACCACCCTGCACCGCACTGTCCTGCGCCACACCACCACTCTGCACCGCAGTATCTGCAGTGCCAGACAGCAGGGCATGGGCGGCGACCTCCCAGTGCAGGCGCTGCACCACCGCGCGCACAGCCGGCAGCTCGGGCACCGCCACGCCCAGTGCTGCCCCCTGGGTGAGCAGCGACGACAGCTCAGCCGCACTGGCGCTCGCTGCTGCTGCCGGCACCAGTAGCTCCGGGGGGGGCTTGCCTGCAGGCGCAGCTGGTGCTGATGCAAGGGGTGTGGCGCCTGACTCGGCGGCGATGGGCACTGCAGCCGGGCTGGCTTGGGTGCTCTGTGCTGCAGCTGCTGTGGTCGGTGTGACTGTGGTGGGTGGTGAGAGAAAGGTGGTGGCGGTGTGGAGGGCGTGTGAGGTGGCGGATTGCCAGGCGGCGAGAGAAGAGAGCAGCGAGGCGAGCTGTGGTGCGTGCGGTGGACGCACGGGCAGCGCAACGACCTCTGCAGTCAAGGCCTGTGGCAAACGGCGGATGGAGGGGATGTGAGAAGGACGAGGGTAGGTGGGAAAAGGGGGAGACGGGGGAGAGGGTTGGGTGGGGTGGAGGGGGGGAGGGAAGGAGGGAGGATGAGATGGAGTCAGGTGGACGCAGTCAAGTGTACCGGGGTCGAGCTAAGTGAGAGTTGGACACATATGCAGCTAAAAAACAAACAATTGATACCCGTTTCGACATTTGACGCCCAGCTTTCTTTTCCCAGAGCTGACCAGAGAAAAAGAAGTCAGGCCTACCACATACCTCAATCTCTTCCACAGTCACTCGGGCATCCGCGCCCTCCTGCACCCCCCCTCCCTCGCCCTCCCCTCGCCCTCTCCTCCTCCGCTTCCACCTCCCTCCACTGCCTCTCTCCTTCCCCCCAGCGGGGGTAGCAACACCAGCACCAGTACCAGCAGTGACGGCAGCAGCGGAGCGGCGCACAGCCAGCAGCAGCTGGTCGCCTCGAGCTGCTGCTGCCCTTGCTGACGCCAGCACTGACATCAGGTGAGCATGGCCTGCCAGCGATGCTGGGATGGCCTCCGCCTCCCTGTGCGGGCGAGCGAGGGATGTTTGGGGGGGCGGGGAGGAGGCAGTGGGGGTGGGGGGAAAGGGCAAAAGGGGAGGAAGGGGGGATACAGCGGGAAAAGAAACATTTGCGGAGAGGATGGGTGGGCGAGACAGGATGTGAGAATCCCATAGTTGGGATGAGAGGTGAACTCAAAAGTTGGTATATTGGGGAAAAAGAGCAGTACAGTACAAATAGGGCATGAGGTGAGTGAGCACAGTTAAGGTTCCCCCCCACCATTATTGGCTAACCAATGGGATGGGGGCCCCAGCTCAATAAGTGGGGTTGAACCAATTATTGGAGGAGCAAAACATTGAGGGTTTGGCCACCAATGTTGGCTCCCCAACAATAATCGTTGCTTGGGTTGCGGGACCCCAACCAAAAGTCGGACGTCCTCTTCAATGTGTACACCCATGATTTGGGTGTACACTAATAGGTCTAACCATAAACATGATACAATACAACACAGGGTACGTAGCTAAGTGTCTCACACGGAGGGGGATACGGAAGCACGGAATGCGATGCGAGACGCCTTCATGTGGGCAATTGCGCAGTGGACTGGAGGATTCGCCAACATGATTGCATTCACTGCACCACTACCTTTTTTACAACACCTCGTCTCCCCACGTGTATCACTCACCCTCGCCTCCCCCTCTCACCTGCTCATCGCCTCGCCCTCCTCCAGGCTGCACCCCTCCTGCAGCGCCCTCTGCGCCCTGGCCTGCCAGTCGCTGCCTGCCGCCACCACCGCGTGCACGCGCGCCACCACTGCACTGCCCGTGGGCAGCCTGAGGGTGGGGTGAGTACAGGCCGTGGGAGGGATGGGACGGGAGGGAGAGTAGGGTTGGGAGGAGTGGGACAGGTGCGACGGACAGGGTTGAGTGAGAGGCACGGGAGAGGAAGCAGGTGGAGTGTGTGCTTTTCATGACACACCAAATGACAGACATAAGCAGGCCTGAACCTTCAAGCTGCAAGTTGCGAAGGATCTAGTAGCAAGGCAGGAATGTCTCTCTCTCATTCTCTCCCTTTGCCCCATCTATTTCTCTTGAATCTCCCTCCCTCACTCTCCTGCTCTCAACTATCTCCCTACATCTCCCACTCTCCTTGCTCTCCCACACGCTCACCGCTCCCCCTGCGCCTGCAGCGCCAGCAGCTCGTCCACTGATGCACGGCGCATGAGCGCCCCCTCCGCCGCCTCCTCCCACTGCATGCGCTGCAGCTGCTGCTGCACCTGCTCCATCTCGCCCACTGGCAGAAGGGGGGGAGAGGAGTGTGGGGATTTGTGGGTTGGAAGTGGTTCAGGAAAAAACGAAATGTGCAGCAACAGCCACAGCGGTGGCAGCAGTTAGGGATGAGCAAGTGGCGAACACGAACGTGTTCGTGTTCGCCCCTACACGAACACCTTCGTTTGCCGAACCGAACACTGTTCGGTTCGGCGAACACTTTGAGCAAAAAATGGTGTTCGCCGTTCGCCTGTGAAGGCGTGTTCGGGCGAACCTCGAACACTGTTCGTGTTCGTCGCGGGCAAATTGCAGCAGCGGCCCGAACACGAACGTGTTCGGGCGAACATCGAACACTGTTCGGCGAACATTTTAAGCCAAAAAAAAATACCTGTTCGGTTCGCCTCGAAAGGTGTTCGTTTTTTTGCTCAACCCTAGCAGCAGTAGCGGCAGGAGGAGGCGATGGAAGCAGAAAACAGTGATGATGATGCTGTTGTTGTTGACCATGCAGGTGTGACGCTGCTCCTGCTCCTCACACTCCCTCTCCACGGCATTCACCGCCCCACCCTCCACCGCTCCACCCTCCACCGCCCCACCCCCACTCACGAGTGACGTGCATGCGCGTGCCGGCCTCCACCAGCGCTGCCAGCTCCTCCTTCCACCCGCTCTGCCTGCCCGACGCGGGTGTGACAGTGGCGGGTGTGACAGTGGCGGGTGTGACAGTGGCGGGTGTGACAGTGGCAAGTGGGACAGCGGCGGAAGGCGACGGGAGAAGCAGAGTAGCTTGGACAGCGGCAGGGCAAGGGGCAGCAAGAGGGGTGGCGTCAGTGGCAGAAGCTGTGAGCGCAGCAGGGGCTGTGGCAGACGGAGTGGGGATGGATGCAGGGTGGTGGGAAGAGGGAGTGCAGGCAGCAACGGTGGGAGGAGGGGTTGCTGGAGAGGGAGCAGCAGCAGCGGTGGTGCGAGTGACAGGCAGGGGGGTGGCAGGAGCAGGTGTGGTGGGGGGAGCAGAAGGGGGAGAGAGTCTGGAGGGGGGAGGGCTGCCCGGGCCACACTTGCTGCTTGCCACACTAGCTGCTCCTGCATGCCCCTGCCCCTCCTCTTGCCCCTGCCCTTCTTTTTTTCCCTGTTTGTGTGCCTGCTTGCCCCTCCCCCCATCCTTGCCCCCCAGTGCCGCCAGCAGTGCGCGTGCCCTCTCTCCCCAGCGCCGTGCGTCGTCCCGCCGGGCCTGCAGCTGCGCCACCGCTGGCAGCCGCACCGCCACGCCCCTCGCCTCCTGCAGCAACCCGTCCATGTCCTGAGGGGGGAAGGACGGGGGGACGGGGATTGAAGACGCACGGGGGGGCGCCGGGTGAGCTTGGGTGGGGAACGAGACACAGGCAGGGAGGCGAGGAAGGGGGGAGGAGGTTTGGGCAATGAGGCGAGCGGGAGAGATGCAAGGAGAAGCAGCGCTGACTGGCGGAACAAAAGGCGCGAAAGCAGGACAGGTTGCCGGGAACGAGAGAGCAGCGCGGTGGACATGGCAGTGTGGGGAGGTGACAGCGAGGTGGGGAGGTGGCAGCGAGGTGGGGAGGTGGCAGCGAGGTGGGGAGGTGGCAGCGAGGTGGGGAGGTGGCAGCGAGGTGGGGTGGTGGCAGCGAGGTGGGCAGGTGGCAGCGAGGTGGGGAGGTGGCAGCGAGGTGGGGAGGTGGCAGCGAGGTGGGGAGGTGGCAGCGAGGTGGGGAGGTGGCAGCGAGGTGGGGAGGTGGCAGCGAGGTGGGGAGGTGGCAGCGAGGTGGGCAGGTGGCAGCGAGGTGGGGAGGTGGCAGCGTGGTGGGGAGGTGGCAGCGAGGTGGGGAGGTGGCAGCGAGGTGGGGAGGTGGCAGCGAGGTGGGCAGGTGGCAGCGAGGTGGGCAGGTGGCAGCGAGGTGGGGAGGTGGCAGCGAGGTGGGGAGGTGGCAGCGAGGTGGGGAGGTGGCAGCGAGGTGGGGAGGTGGCAGCGAGGTGGGCAGGTGGCAGCGAGGTGGGGAGGTGGCAGCGAGGTGGGGAGGTGGCAGCGAGGTGGGGAGGTGGCAGCGAGGTGGGGAGGTGGCAGCGAGGTGGGCAGGTGGCAGCGAGGTGGGCAGGTGGCAGCGAGGTGGGGAGGTGACAGCGAGGTGGGCAGGTGGCAGCGAGGTGGGGAGGTGACAGCGAGGTGGGGAGGTGGCATCGAGGTGGGCAGGTGACAGCGAGGTGGGCAGGTGACAGCGAGGTGGGCAGGTGGCAGCGAGGTGGGCAGGTGGCAGCGAGATGGGCAGGTGACAGCGAGGTGGGCAGGTGGCAGCGAGGTGGGCAGGTGGCAGCGAGGTGGGCAGGTGACAGCGAGGTGGGGAGGTGGCAGCGAGGTGGGGAGGTGGCAGCGAGGTGGGGAGGTGACAGCGAGGTGGGCAGGTGGCAGCGAGGTGGGCAGGTGGCAGCGAGGTGGGCAGGTGGCAGCGAGGTGGGCAGGTGGCAGCGAGGTGGGAGCGAGGTGGGTGTTAAAATATATATTGTGTAGCATGCCAACACATGTGACTGTACACCAATTGTGGTGTACAGTTGGGTTGGGACTACACCCAACTTTGGGTGTAGTCTTGCACTTTGGGGTGCCAATCCACCCAATTGTGGTGGAGCCCCCAAATGCAACCCTCTTGACTTGTGGGTACCTCACTTCCCACAATTGAGGTTACCCCAAGCCAAGTGGGCCTAGGGTTGCCTCACTTCTACAAAGTGTGGGCAACCCAACCCACTTGACCTATGGTTCCCTCACTTCCCCAAGTGAGGTCAACCCAACCTATGGTCACTTTCATCCTTCCCTTCCAACCTTCCCTTCCAACTATGTATGCTAGGTTGTTCCTCTAATCTCATGACTTGTTCAATTTGTTACTTTCACATGGTATAGAGCTACTTGTTCCTAGGCCTTACCTCTCCCTCCCTTCAGTTTTGTTTTCCCATGGGCCCACCCCACAGCTACAAACCCTTTCCTACGCGTGGCTCAACTAGCCATCACTAGCATACTCTTGCCGCGACCTACGCCGTCGCCGCCGTTCCCCCCCCCTCCCGCCGCGATTACGCCTTCCTCGCCTGCGGATTCCACCGCCGCGAGCGCAACGCCGCTGTCCCCTCCTCCCCCCCGCCGCGACCCCCTGTCGCCGCCTCCCCTTCTCGCCGCCGCGCCTGATTCGGCGCTGCCTGCGCATCCTGCCGCCGCGACGCCTCGTCGCCGCCTGCCCGCTGCCCGTCCCTCCGCCGCGACGTCACGTCGCCACGTTCCCGCCGCTGCGCCTGCTACGGCGCCGCCTGCGCATCCTGCCGCCGCGACGCCTCGTCGCCGCCTGCCCGTCCCTCCGCCGCGACGTCTCGTCGCCGCGTTCCCGCCGCCGCGCCTGCTTCGGCGCCGCCTGCGCATCCTGCCGCCGCGACGCCTCGTCACCGCCTGCCCGTCCCTCCGCCGCGACGTCTCGTCGCCGCGTTCCCGCCGCCGCGCCTGCTACGGCGCCGCCTGCGCATCCTGCCGCCGCGACACCTCGTCGCCGCCTGCCCGTCCCTCCGCCGCGACGTCTCGTCGCCGCGTTCCCGCCGCCGCGCCTGCTACGGCGCCGCCTGCGCATCCTGCCGCCGCGACACCTCGTCGCCGCCTGCCCGTCCCTCCGCCGCGACGTCTCGTCGCCGCGTTCCCGCCGCCGCGCCTGCTACGGCGCCGCCTGCGCATCCTGCCGCCGCGACACCTCGTCGCCGCCTGCCCGTCCCTCCGCCGCGACGTCTCGTCGCCGCGTTCCCGCCGCCGCGCCTGCTACGGCGCCGCCTGCGCATCCTGCCGCCGCGACCCCTCGTCGCCGCCTGCCCGTCCCTCCGCCGCGACGTCTTGTCGCCGCGTTCCCGCCGCCGCGCCTGCTTCGGCGCCGCCTGCGCATCCCGCCGCCGCGACGCCTCGTCGCCGCCTGCCCGTCCCTCCGCCGCGACGTCACGTCGCCGCCTCCCCTTCCCGCCGCCGCGCCTGCTTCGGCGCCGTCTGCCCGTCCCGCCGCCGCGACAGCTCGTCGCCCCCTGCCCGTCCCGCCGCCGCGACCTAACATCACCGCCTGCGCATTCCGCCGCCGCGACTGCTCGTCGTCACCTCCCCGCCCCCACCACCCCCCCCCCCCCCCGCCGCGATTTCGCATTGCCGCCTCCCCTCCCACCGCCGCACCTGCTTCCGCGTCACCCACGCATCTCGCTGCCCCTTCTGCATCGCCACCCTCCCGCAATTTCCCCCGCCGCAACTGCAACATCGTCGCCCCGCGGTTCCCGTTAACGCCACTGCGCCGCCGCCGCCCTACCGCCGCGACTGCTTCGGCGCCGTCTGCCCATCCTCCACCGCGACCGCGCCATCCCCGCCCACACTTCCTGCCGCCGTGACTACCCCGTCGCCGCCTGCAGATTCAGCCGCAACTGCACCCTCCCTTCCTCCTCTCCCTACTCCTCTCCCCCCCCCCTCCCCCTCCCCCTGCGCCCCTCGTTGCCGCGGCCTGCCTGCCGCCGCCGTCCCTCGTTTCGCCGCCGCGGCCCTTCCGCCGTCGCCTGCGCCCCTCGTCGTCGCGGCCTGCTCGCCGCCGCCGCCCCCGAATTTGCCACCGCCTCCCCTTCCCGCCGCCGCACGTTCGCACAGCCGCCTGCGCCCTTGTCACCGTCGCTCCCTGCACCTTGAACGCCTCTGCCCTCCACCGCTGTCTCCCTCCTTTACACCCCCCCCCCCCCCCCCCCCCCCCCCCCTCCCTCCTCCTGCCAGCGGCAGCAGCAGCGGCAGCAGGGGAAGTGCAGCAGCCTCCGCAGCAGCAACTTCACCCTTGGCCGCCGCGGGTCCACCCGCCGTCGCCCATCATGACTGCTACCCCCCCTGCCCCTCTCCCCCTTCCTCACTGGAGCAGTGTTACTCCTCGCCCCTCCCTTCTCAACACTCCGACCCTCCACTCCTCCCCCCCCCCTTATCTCCGCCTGCTCACCCCCTCCCCCCCTCCCCATCTGCGGCGTTTCCAGCAGCTCCAGCATCAGCAGCAGCAGGACTTCCAGCAGCGGCAGCAACCACAATTTCTCCAGCCGCACCCCCCACATCTCCTCCAGCCGCGGCAATCGCAGCAGCAGCAGTTCTTCCAACACCAACAGCAGCCGCAATCTCTCCAGCCTCACCCGCCACAGTTTCTCCATCCCCAGCAGCAGCAGTCCTTCCAGCCGCAGCAGCGGCAGTCCTTCCAGCAGCAGCAGCTGCCACAGTTCCTTCCACCGCAGCAGCAGCAGTCCTTCCTGCAGCAGCAGCAGCCACAGTCTCTTCAGCCGTAGCAGCAGCAGTGCTTCCAGCAGCAGCAGCTGCCACAGTTCCTTCCGCCGCAGCAGCAGCAGTCCTTCCAGCAGCAGCGGCAGCCACAGTTTCTTCAGCCGCAGCAGCAGCAGTGCTTCCAGCAGCAGCAAAAGCCACAGTTCTCTCCATCCGCAGCAGCAGCAGCAGTGCTTCCAGCAGCAGCAGCCACCACAATCTCTCCAGCCGCAGCAACCGCGGCAGCATCGGCGGTGCTTCCAGCAGCAGCAGCAGCCCAATCTCTCCAGCCGCAACCGTCACAGTCTCTCCCACCGCAGCAGCCGCAGCAGCAACAGTACTTACAGCAGCAGCACCCGCCGCTCTCTCCCTCTTCTATCCATGAAACAACTCTCCAGTACTCTGTGTTCCCTCCCTCTCCTTCCCCCCCCACCCTGGACTTTGTCCTTGACAGTGGGGCCACCGAAACCGCACTAAAAGACGCTGGCACCCTCACCCCCCTTCCACTTCCCACCCAGGTTCATGGTGCCGACTCCAGCTTTTCCATCCCCTGCACTCACCTCTCCACCCTTCCTTGCACCGCCTTCCCATCCGGTACAGTCACCCGTCTCCACATCCCTACCCTTCGCAATAACCTCCTCTCCCACCGTGAACTCCAAGGCGTTGGCATTACCGCCATTTACCCTGGCTTTGCTTCCTACTGCGATCTCTACCACACCGCCTCTGGTCGTTTCCTCCTGCGCATTCCCCTTTGCCCTCGCACTCGCCTTTACACGCTCCGCACACCCCGTCCCTCCTTTTGTCACGTCACCACTCGTGCTGGTACTTCCACCGGTCCCCTTCTCCCTCCCCCTCACCCTCCCCCTCCCCCTCCTCCGATATCCTCCTCCTCTACTCCATCCGCCTCCTCCTCCCCCCCCAACTTTTCCCCCACCCCATCCCCCTCCTCCTCTACTGCCCTCTCCCATCCTGCAGTGCTCCTACATCACAGACTCGGCCATCCCAACTTCGCCGCACTTCGCTCCACCGTCACCTCTCGCCTCCTTAACAGCCTTCCTCCCACCTTACCTCCCCTCCCCTCCTCCCCTGCTCCCCCATGCCCATCATGCATTCATGGCAAGCTCAAACAGTCCCCCCATCACAGTCATCCCACCTTCGCTCCCGCCCCCATTGACCTTGTTCACATGGATCTCTGGGGCCCTTATCCCATCCGCTCCCGTCAGGGGCACAGGTACATGCTCGTGCTCGTCGACGACCACAGTCGGTACTCCACCGTCTTCTTTCTTCACACGAAAGACCAGGTGCCGGCTGTGGTCATCAACTGGGCTGAGCAGTGCCGCAACCACTTCAAACGTCCCATAGGCCGCCTTCACTCTGACGGTGGGGGTGAGTTCATCAATCATACTCTCTCCACTTACTGCAAAACATACGGCATTCAGCAGACCACCACCCTTCCCCACTCCCCTCAGCAAAACGGCATCGCTGAGAGTCGCATCCGTGAGATCACCAAGATTGTGCGCTGCCTCATTGCTCACGCCTCCACCCCTCCCTCCCTCTGGAGCTATGCCCTCATTCATGCCGCCCTCCTCCTCAATCTCCGCTCCCACCCTCAGCATCCCTCCTCCTCCCCCACAGAACTCTGGTCCAAGGCCAAGCCTGACGCCGCAGGCCTTCGTGTTTGGGGCTGCAAGGCGTTCGTCCTCATTCCACCGGCCGACCGCTCCCGCGCTGCTGGCAAGCTCGCTCCTCGCGCTCTGGAGTGCGTCTACCTTGGGCACAATCGTGATTCCCCAGGCTACCTATTCCTCCACCCTCCCACCAATCGCCTCATCCGCAGCATTGACGTCGTCTTTGACGAGTCCACTCCCTACTACTCCACCCCTCCTCCTGACCCCCTCCCTCCTCCCACTCGCCCCCTCGCTTGGACCGACACCATCCTCCCGCCTCTTATCCCTCCAGCGCCTCTCCTCCCACCTGTCGCCGCCCCACTCCCGCCTTCCTCCTCTGCCGACGTCTACGACCCTGCCGCACCCGCCTCCCCCGCTCACTCAGCTGCACCCCCTCCCCCCTCTCCCTCCTCCTCTCATTCTCCTCCTTTCCAGCAGCCGGATCAGCAACAGCAGGGGCAGCAGCAGCAGCAGCAGCAGCCGGATCAGCAACAGCAGGGGCAGCAGCAGCACCAGCAGCAGCAGCAGCAGCAGCAGCAGCAGCGGGAGCAACACCAGCAACGG